TCTTGATTGGCGAGTTGCTAAAGAAAAGCTGCCATGAGGCATTGTGAGGATTCTATGTTCTGATGGTATCCTGCAAGACAGCGATGAAGATATCTTTTCATCCATCTATTCATCTATCTTTCTGTCTGTTTGCTTGTCCAAGTACCCATCTATCCATCCATCCATCCATCCACCCATCCATCCATCCACCCATTCATCCTTCTAGTCATTCATTCAGTGACTATTTCTTGAGTAGCATCTTTCTGCCTAGAGACCAAGGACAGGAAGCAGGAGAAGGAGAGAGGGAGAAACTCCCCAGTAAGAAAAGGGAAAATAGACAGGGTGAATAGAAAAAACTTCGTTTCCTGTCATTAAGAAAATGTAGAGCATCTAATAATATTTATAAATGCTACAATCTAGAACTTGCTTTTAAAAAAAGAGAGCTTTCTTTATTTTTATTGTAGTGAAAGAAAAATAAACAGAAGCTGACCATTCATTAGAATTGACTACAACCTGGGAGGTGTTGGGCTGCTTAAAGGTCGTGTTGCATGTAGACATCAGGCTTTATAACTGGGACAAAACGCAGACCTGGAGTGATTCAACATTTTTCTATGTTGAACTGGTAGAAAATAGGTCAGGTAAACCTGAGTTGCTCCAAAGGGCGAGGGGAAAGCAGCCCTCGGGCCAGGCTGTCTGGGGAGCAGAGGGTGAGGACTTGATGTGCGCTGGAGGACGGAGCTGCTGCTTTCTGCAGGCATCTGCATCCTACCCGGTGCTGGGGAGAACCCAGTGCCTGTGCCAGGGGAAGTGCGGGGCAGGGGAGGGAGGGTGGATGACAAAGCAGCAGGGCTCTTTCTGAGCCAATGAACAGGCTCCCGGTAGCTGAGATTTGTGCTGTTTAAGGAATTCAGTGGTTGGAGTCTCACTCACCCAGTGGAAATGCTCCCCAGGATGATAATGGAACATTGGGCAGGGGTTTTCTCCTGGTACAGAGAAACTCGGGAGCTGCAGAACGCCAAGCAGGGGAAGGCAGTGGAAGAAGTCCTACTTGGGAGTCATTTCTTCAGGGTTGGGGAGCACAGAGTCTGATAGTCAGAAGTCCCTTTGGGGGCATTGGCTCCCTCACAGCCAAGCTTTTAGTAATTCTTTGTAAAGAGGAGGAAATTTTTGTAATAGCATCTTCTGCCTCTGGGACCTTTCTGCCTTCTGGCACAATCATTGGCAAGTCTTTTCCCAAACTATTTCAGTCAGTAGCTAATCCAAGTGACTGGTTATATTTCCCTCCAAGTGGTGTCCACGATGATGCAGGAAGAGAGAAGTATACACCTGAAACCAAGATTTACCACTGTCGGCCTCCCTACTGGAGGACCCAACCAAGAGCCACCAAGGAAGAAAAACAAACCAGTGTAACTTGTGATGTCACCAAATGTGTTACTCATTTTATTTGTACCCTATTTTCAAAAAAGGAACAATTTTAGTTTATACAAATAAATACATCTCTCAGGACTCCATCTGGAACTCATATACACAAACTTAAGATATGATTTGTGTCTAGATGTCCCCCTAAAGACTCACGAGTCTTAGATGCAGCTTTTACAGAGATAGCTGATTCTAGAGTGTGTGAGCCTGAGATCATGTGTGTGTCCACTGATGGACTTGGCATTCACCCTGAGTGATGTACCCTAGACAGAGTACAAAAGTGGCAAAAGACATGCTGTTGAGACCCCTTCTTGCTGTTGCTACCGTGTGGGTGCCATGAATTGTTCTCCACTGTGTCATCCCTCTGTCATGTGCCACTCTGTCTTGGAGCCAGCCAACTGTGGCCTGAAAGCTCCACAAACTGATAGCTAAATAAACCTTTCCCCATTTACCTTTGGGTGTCTGGTATTTTGCCTCAGCAACAAGAGAAAAGTTACCAAGACACTTTAAATGTAATTCAACCAAATTGTCTAGCAGCAAATAAATATGGCAGAAGATGTTACAGGTAGAAAAGCTGATAGCAGTAAGAAATGACAGGTACCAACAAGAAGAGAGACAGGAAAACTATCATAATAGTTTCCCTATACCATAATACCATACCAGAATTCAAAACCAACTTTCTGACTCATGTAGTGTGTTACCAATGCATCTTTGAAGTCTTAAATCTATTCTTGACTTGGCCATTTTTTGATACTTTTATTGGTGATTCTTGAGTCTCTAAGAGAAAGTAAAATTATGTTTATTTTATCTTGTTAATGAACTTGGAATGCACTTGTTCAAAAAGATTTCTGTCTCACACCATTAAATTTAAAATTTTTGTGTTTAAATGATTAAACTTGCAAATAGTCAGAGACTTAATTATTTAAAATGACTTGGCACAAGTTTAGCTTGAAAACAGGTGTGTTTGGGGTTTCAATCAGTTGACTCTGGATACAAATTATACTTCCTGTCTTCAAAGGTATAATTTGGGCTTCACACAGATCTTGTGCCCAAATAGATTTGGCACCTCCCCAAGAAAAAAAGAATATTTAGAAATGTAACTCAAGATGTTTGATGTAAATTCCAAAGCTCCAACAACAGTTATATTTTTGGTTTGGTTGGTTATGTCTTAGACCCATGGAATTAGGTTGGTGTTTGGCTGCTAAGTCCTCATTGAAACTTGGAGGGACTTTTGGTGGAAATTTGGGCTTATTCTGTCTACTATAGAAGACAGAGGTCCCCCTGTACTTCTCCTATCCCTTCTAGGATGCGAGCATGTGATCCTCGATTGCTCAGCTCTCTTGAATCTATAGTGTGTGCTAATCATTGGTGAAGTCTATTAGCAAATGCCATTTTGTACAATTCCAATTCATTACATTTTAAAGTGTAATTACTGCAGGCTTGGAGGACTTTGAGGAGAGGAATTGCAGTGGCAAATAGAAATATCAAAACGTCACCCAGGATTTGGAGGCAGATTTATTTAACATTGATGGACATGGGTAGAGATTCATTTCCAAAATATCAGGCCCCAAAGACAAAAGGAGGGAGGTTTCTATGGGATAGCAAAGCAGAAGTACAGAGAGGCAGGTTGGCTTGTCATTTGGGGATTAGTTGGTAAATCATAATGACCAACCAGTGCATCATAGTGATCAGCCATTTCTGGGAAACATAAGTAACAGGAACTGTAACAGGAACTCAAGTAAACTAGAGGTTACCTGGGCAATAAGGGGGAGGCATTTTCTGCTACAGAATCATTGCAGTTGGTTGTGTGATAACTTGATCACTGCCATGTTTGAAGAGTGGCCACTAAAAAGTGCACCCCTGTTATAAGCTCCAGTAAATAGGAAATAGGGTCTTTGTGGATGTAGTTAAGTATAAAGAATCTTTAAATTTGCAATGGGGCTTAAATCCAATGAGTAGTGCTCTTATAAGAAGAGACATGGTCACAGAAACACTGGAAAGAGGAAATGTAAAGACAAAGGCAGCCATGGGAGGGACAGATGTATAATGCCAAGGAACTCCAAGGTTGCCAGCCACCACCAGAAGCCAGGAGAGAAGCATTCAACATCTGCTTCCTCCCCAAAGCCTGAAGCAGGTGCAAATATTATCAGCACCTTGATTTTAGACCTCTGGCTTCCAAAACTATAAGAAAATAAATTTCTGTTGTTTTTACTGAGTTTGTGGTATAGTTGATCTTCTGTGTTTATGCGTTTCAACCAACCATGGATCAAAAGCATCAAGAAAAAAACACTAGGTACTAAACATGTATCTAATTTTCTTGTCATTATTCCCTAAACAAAATGATATATCAACTATTGTGCAACATTTACATTATATTAGGTATTACAAGTAATCCAGAGATGATTTAAAGTATACAGGAGAATGCGTATAGCTTGCATGCAAATACATACTTGAATATGTGCCTAAAAGGACTCAGCCAATGTTGGCACTCATAGGTCTCCACAGGATAGTGAGGGAGGACTCCCAGTAGTTATAGAGAAGCCCTGCTTAACTTGCATGTTGGTTTCTGTAAGAACAGACTCCCGGGGAAGCAAAAGAACGCCCCATGGAATTTGTTGCAGTAATCTAGGCAAGACTCAGTGCTTAGACTAGCATGAAAACCAGTAAAACCCTAGACATGTTTATAAGGTAGAACTGAGAGGATTTGGTGGCAGGTTGGAGGGTGAGATGTGAAAGAAGTTTTGTAGAAAGTTTTGTGGCATGTAAGCATCCAAGCAGATGGGTTTATCCTTCTCAGCCAGAGTTTTAATGAAGACCACCTTTCAGTGTTACCTGCTAGCAACACAGTCAGCTCTGCTGAAAAGAGCTGTGGAGGGACAAGGGACATGGGCCATCATGTAGCTTTCCTGCTCCTGTCAGCCACACTGCAACAGTGACTACTTCCAAGTTCCAGTTTTCGCCATGCTTCCAGGACGAGCCTCACTGTGATTTTTGCTCAGAGCTCTGTGGGCCACCCTGAAGGCTGTAGATTCTGTGACTCCAATCCTCTCCATCCCCCAGGCCTGGGTGGAGACTATTTTCTGATGTTACCTCTGCACTTTCCTCAGGGGTCCTGGTTTGCTTTTTGGGGGTTGTTATACCAGGTTAGTAATTGTCTACACAAAACTGTGTTAGAATAACTGGTTTCTGATTCCTAAACAGAGTCTGACTAATGCGGAAAGCACCTTGACTTCAAGCAAAATCTGAGCAACTGAAAGACCTGAGTTGCTGTTCACCCAGGCTGGGGATATGGAGGTTGGAGACTGCTTGGCACAGGCTGAGAGGTGGTGAGGAGGCTGCTGGGCATGTGGCTTGGGTTCAGGGAAGAAGCCCAGTGTGTATGACATAGGTGAGAAGGCCAGGCAAAGCTGGCTGGAGAAGTTGCCCTGGCCTGTCAATTACAAGATCCCAAGACGGCGCCTGACCCTTCTCAGGACCCGTACCTATGTAGAACTTGGCGGCTCTCTGAGAGATGTGGAGGCATAAGGGGGGCCAAGGCTGTGAGGAGCCCCGTGTATTTTTATTTTTGCCCTTTTTCTCTGTTGCTTAGCCCCGGTTCAGTCTGCAGAGCCAGTTTTCCTCTTACCCCTTCACTCCTCATTTGTCAAATTTCTGGCACCAGTTTTGCTTGTCTCATACTGTTCTTTGTGCGAGGCAAGAAGGACCTGGAATACTTTTAGTTGGTGAGTTGTTTTTAAACGAGCTACCTGACGACATGTAGGCCCCCGACAGTGTGCAGGTGGCACCACAAGACTTCACCTGCCTGGAGATATTCTGAGTCTCCTTTTTCCTTTGTGTCCTAGGGGCCGCATAGACAGAGGTTTCCCAAATGTTTGTTGACGGAGAGACTCATGGGTAAAAGAGTCAGTGAATGTTGAGTTACTGTGCTTACAACAGTGAACTGTTCTGAAAATAAGCTTTCCTAGGAATGGAACGAAGAGGAAGAGAGGGACATGAATGGATTCCTGAGAGCCCACCGGCCTGTTAGATGCAGAAACCAGGTGGGCGGGCTGTAGAGGATGGTTCCCTAACAGCAAATGACCTCTTGGAATTTTTTGGACCCAAGACTAGTTTTTCTCCATTGCAAGCTAATCTGTGGACATCGAGGCTCGGTTTCCTGATCGACAGCACAAACCCCTCTCTCTGAGCTTCCTTAGGAAGAAAACATGGCCCTTTCCACTCGGCATTTCTTTTTCTGTTCACCCAGGCCTCCTGCTTACCAGCCGCTTCCAGTTCTGGTGACTTATTCATTATTCATCTCTTCTCTTTTTACTTGGGAGCAGGACTTTGCCAAGCTTAGCCTCTCATCTTTGGTCAAGATGAACGATGGCAGGTAAGGCCCTCACTCTCTGCCCAGGAAATGAATGAGTGACCGCAGAGGCCCGGGTGGCCCCGACAGGTGGCCCCGACAGGTGCTGGCAACCCAGGGCCTCAGGCGCCAGGTGGTGGTCACCATTCTGCTTTTTTGTTTGTTCACTGCAGCAGCATTGGAGGTGAGCAGTGAAGGCTCCGAAGGAAACAAAACTGGGTAAGAGAAAGACCCCGAAACTGTGTCCTCCCACCTTGGAGTCTGGCCCGTGGGCCTGTCCGGTGTGTCCAGTGGCAGGCAGTGCTCTGTCTGTTATGCACTGTTTTCATCCTAAAGAATTTTCCTTAAGCTAATAACGTAGTTCCATCTGCTCATCTGTGATCTTGATTATGTCAAATGTAGCCCCAAAAGAGTAAAACTTAGTGAGATTTTAATACATTTGACTTAACATATGATTGGGAATTGCTTGCCATGCACTTCCCATGTTTTGTTTTATGTATTCTTGTCAGAAAAATAGCGTTAAGTGGCAGCTGTGAATTTTAGGGCAAACAGCCGAGTTTTGCCTCTGGACCGGGTCCATTGCTGAAACAGGGTTTGCCCTGCCTGCTGTCCTGTGAGCCACCGCAGCTTGGCAGGTGCCTTCCGCATGGCTGCATGAAACCTTCCTGTTTGTGAGTGGCTGGGAGTGGCCCTGTCTGAGAATGAGCCACCATGCAGGGGGAGCCACAGACAACTCCGGGAGCAAGCAGGCCCCTCTGTGCTAGGACTTTTGGCACATGGTAACCCTGTGGCATATTCTGAGTGCTGGGCAGATGGTCAAAGGGGAGGGTCTCATTTCCTTCTCTGTCTGGGCTAACCCTGGACACTGCCCCATGTTCTATCTGCCATGTCATGGGACGTCCAGTGGGAGCTACACTGGTGTTATCAGTAGATGAGGCTGAGCAGGGTTCTGGATGATAGAGAGAAAACAGAGCAGTACATACATAGCTTTCCTTACCCTCTGTATCATCACTGCTCTCAAACTGATTTATGCCATTCTGCTGGCAGTGAAGCCAGCCAGGTGCCTTTGCTGGCTGTCTTCACACAAGAGATTTTGGAGAACGTGTGATCAGGAAGCAATCAGGAAATAGCTGTCAGTCCTAATGTAATGGGTTAGGGCTTACCCGGCTCACTGACAGATACATTGACCTTTTCTGTGAGGTGCACTATGATGTGTGTGTGTGTGTGTGTGTGTGTGTGTGTGTGTGTGTGTGTGTGTGATGTGATGCTGGGGGCTCAGAATACTAGGCAAGCACTGTCCCACTGAGCTACATCCTCAACCCTTTTTATTTTATTTTGAGACAGGATCTTGCTATAGTTCCCATGCTGGGCTTGAACTTGTAATCTTTCTACTTCAACCTCCTGAATACCTAGGATCACAGGTGTGTGCCACCAGGCTGTGTTATGATTTTTAAATGGCCACAGAGCCATTGCATATAGTCACAGGTGCCTTGGGAGCTCCAGGTGTTCATCTTTCCTAAGGCTTAGCAGGAAGCTGGCTGTTGGACTGGCCTGCCTTCCTCACAGGGGTGCTGAGAGGCACTTAGTTTCTCCATAGGCAGTGCTTCATGCGGGCTGTGAGTGCCTCTGGATGTCTCTGCTGTTTGCCTGGAGTGGTTTTCTCAGCTGCCATGGCCCAGGCAGAGGGTTAAAGCTTTTGTGGACTCAGATCATTGGGCTGCTCGGTGGCAGTCACTGTCTGTCTTGGGTGGCACTCCTTGAGCTCAGCTGGAAAGATGAAGAACACTTCCAGGGTGCATATCCTGCAGGCAGGGGCCTCTTAATGGAGATGGTCAAAGACTTTGCCCTCCTTTTTTTTCCAGAGTGAAAACATACCTTTGTGCTCACTTGAGATCAAAACTCCCACATAAAGAATTCAGTTATTTGGCAGTTTGGTTCTCTTGGCTTTGACATGTACCTTAGCTGTATTTTTAATCAAAAAAGCTCTCAAACATCTGAATACCTGTAGTCTGCTTTCTCCAGCACTGACCTTAGGTTCAGCCAAAATCTTTTGTCAGACTATAAATAGATTTTCCTTGTTTGCCCAATATGTCTGTTTAATGTCAAAACAGGAGATGTGACAAGTTTACCAGCTAGGAAGGTATAAGCATAAAGAAAAAATACATAAAATTTAGAATATGATGTTAAAATTTCTGCTGGTTCCTGGGGATGTAGCCAAGTGGTAGATACAGTGATTGGGGATCAATCTTCAGTACAGAAAGATAAAATCATATTCTATTTTATTGGAAGGTACTCATATTTTCTCAATTCTCTAAAGGCTGCTAAACTCATAATTCTTTAAAAATTAACAAAGAGCTGGTCATTGTGGTGCAGGCCTATAATCCTGGCATTTAGGAGGCAGAGGCAGGAAGATCACTGTGAGTTTGACCTCAGCCTGGAGTAATTACACAGTGAGTTCAAGGCCAGCCTGAACTACATAGTGAAGTCTTGTCTCAAAAAAACAAAAAAAAAAATCTAAATTAAGAAAAAAAGCAAGCCAGCCATCTTGGATACTCAGGCTGGTTGGTCCTCAGATGATTTAAGGGCACTCATCTGCTTGTCATGCTTCTGTCTCTGTCCCTCTCCACCCTTAGTCACTGTTTATTTTTATTTCTCTACCTCTTTTCTTTGTTCTTGGACCTTCTCTCTCCATCCCTGCACTATACAAAACAGAATGCGCAACTGTGTGTACGCCTACATTGGAAAGTCCTGGGAACAGTCTTCCCTTCTCCTGGCCCGCCTTGTGTTTTAACAGGCACTGTGTTCGAGTATGGGGATTATGACCTGTCCTCTCATGTATGTCAACATTTTTCAACTTTCAATCAGTACCTATAACTATATCTTTCATACCCGGAGATTTTAAGTAAAAGCTAAAAGTAGGAACCAAAGCATGGTTTTGTGTGAGATGCAGGTAGGAGGGGGACGTGAAGAGCCATTTGCACAAGAGTCTGCCTCCTGTTATAAAGCCCTGGGCAGGGTGGGAGGGCAGTGCCCTGCGCACTGTGTCTCCCCAGAACTGTGGTATGGGGTGTGGGGTTCACAGAGCTGGCTTTGGTAGGTGTTTATGGAATAAATAACAAGAGAAGGTTGTATGGTGCAAAAGGGCAGTTTTGGAGGAGACAGCCGTTTGGTTTTCAAACGTTGCTTCAAAGATTCAGTCTACTTGATCTAAGTGAAAAAGGTGGGAGGTTAGAACTAAATGACTCCTTTTGGATATAATATAACTTAATAAAATGTTCTTAAATTCTGGTGATCTCTTATTAGAGAAACTATTATAGACAGGGGTTCAGAAGTGATTATCTCTGAGGAAAAGCAAATGTGACAATGTTTTATAAGTAAGAGAGTCCTCTGAGAATCCCACTGCTACTTGTGTAATATCTATTATGGCAGTCGTGGGGTGTGGGGCATGCTCCAGACTCTGTGTGACAAGCCTGTTTCTTTCAAGGAGATGTACTAATGGAGTTTGCTGGTGCCAAGCCGGCTCGGGGAGCGAGGAGCCTGACCTTACAGTCTCCGCATTCCACATAATGTGGCTGTTCAGCCAGCCAGCACGGACCCTGCCTGGCTCAGCAATGCGCATTATAGGCAGCTTCAAACCTCCTGGAAGCAACTGCCCAAGGTATCTGGTCTGAAGATAATGAGAGTTTAGTGAGTGAGTAAAATGCTAAGCTGCTTCAAACAGGAAGATTCATCCCAGATGTTATTTTGATGGTGCACTTGAAGTTCTGCTAGACAATTCTTTCTCAAAAAACAAACAAACAAACAAACAAAAAATCTCTATCAAAACTGAATATTCTGGGACATTAATGAGCATATCCATATTTTTTCGCCTGCAAATCACTTATGTAAGCTGTTAGGTCTCACCTGTGCTCTATTATGTCACTGTGGTGGTGTAGAATATTTTTTTCTGAGTTTCAGGAGATGAAGGAGGGAAGTAGGAGGAAGAGGAAAAAGAGGAGGAGATCACTAATACCCAACAGAATTTGTAGTGGTGAGATCAGTGTAATACCCAACAGAATTTGTAACGGCACCTTAAAGCATGAGATATGAATTCTGCTTTGAGTAGTCATTTTACTTAACAGGACGAAAATAGTCATTTTGGTCCCATAAAAAGACCTTGGTTTTTTTTTTTTTTTTTTTAGAGATCCCCTAAAACTATTTTTTATTAGCAAAATAATGTGAAAAAAGACTGCTATTTCACAAAGATAATTTCTCGAGGACATTTTATGCTTAGCATCAACTGAAATGTTTTTTTCTGTGGGCAATTTGTGAGCTCTCTATGTCTATAAACTGCTGTATCTAAGACCCCATTAGCACTCATGGAAATGCCACTATTTGTGAATGGCCTTTCTCCTAGAACTGATTACCTGGCTGGTATGGATGGGCAACCCTGTGGTGCCGCTGTGCCTCTCCTGTGTTATGTATTCTTCACCTCAGCCTCTCGGATCCATCTGAAAAACTAGAGCCCCCAAAACACAGTGACAGCTTCAGGAACGTGCTGCTGACCTTTGGAAGCATTTGTGGCTATTCCAGGCCAGATGCAAACACAGCTTCTCTGCTTCCTGCGCACTCTATTTCTCTTCATTCAAAAATAAATTTGCTGAAATGGCTAAGGAGTAACTAGGTAAAGGCTGTACTGCTTCCTAAGCAGAAATTACATGCGTGTGTTGATGAAGATGTTTATTTATTAGATGGTCTGCTGCATATGAATTGTCTTTGCAGTCTGCTGAGCCACCTTGATTGGATACAAACAGGAAATTATTTTACAATGTAATTTTATGCTTAATTGATAGATCTGATGCCTGTGCTTTTTATCATTACTTCTGCTAGCTTTTAAAACTCCATTAATACTTTAATTATGAATTTTCTTTGCTTTTATGCCCTTAAGGCTATTTGATGGGCAGGCAGACTTTTACAAATTAAGTCAGCAGATATGGTTCACTTAGCAAAAGAAGATGATCAGAGAAAGTATTTGGGAGAATGAC